ACTTGTTTTGCGTTCTTCCCCACGGATTTTCGAGGAAAAGAGAGACTGCCCGCAGTCTAATACAGAAACTGGGATAAAGCTCTCGTGGTATATGGACCACTTGTCCCGACGGAGACTTTTTCACTTTCTACATGTTACCATTCTCAAACACTTTGAGCTCAGCACTCTCCACTGAGCGTAACCCTGTGAGTACAACGTCCTTAGTGTCAGAGTCCATTCCAAAGTTAACGGTTCCAGCTGAAGCGGCGTGCGATTCCTGTCCAATACGTGACGTCATCTCCACTTCTTGTCTCCAGCTACATTTGGAACAGCACGAGCAGAAAATACGAGAAAGGATTGACAAGAAGCCACGGCGGTAACTCTGGTTGAAGGTGAAATACGTGAAAAAGTTTATTATGCCATTGGAGTGAACTAAATACTGAGTAACAAAGCGAAAATCCTTTGACAGGCAAAATTTTCCTTCAGGGCTGAATAGAGAAACTGATAAATACACGACAAACGGCGACATTGATAAGAAAAACACAACAACGATCGCTAAGGACATCTTGAGCACATTTCGATTTCTCTTTTCGCGACTACTGAAGTGAACGACCAAATTCCTTACTCCGTAAAGGGTTTGTCTTCTAAGCTTTTTGACTATTAAGCTATACAGGATTGTTATCAACATCAAAGGTATCACGTATATTATAATTATCAGCAGTAAAAACACGATTTTTGTGACGGAGCGAGACCAACCCAGGAAACAGTAGGTTTTGCCACTGAACGTTCCAATTTTAAAACCATAAAGATATGGAGCGTGAATAAGTGTTGATATCCACCATATCATTAAAATCACGTATTTCACTCTAGGTTTGATACGGGCCGCCTTCAGAGGAAACCACACAGCGTAAAAACGGTCTACGGCAATCGCGACCAAGGTTTGGACAGACACCGCCGTTGAGATGTCTTGAAAAAATGCTGTCAGCTTGCAGAGGGTTTCTCCTAACACGCCATCGATAAGCCATCGGAGATTTCCGTAGAGTATCTCGACGTTGGCCCGAGGCATGGCGAATATGGGAACTAGGAGGTCGGAGACCGCCATATTTACAATGAGTAAGTTTGTGGTGGTCCACATTTTGTTGTCTCGGTAAACCACCATGATGATTAAAGTGTTCCCCAGCAGTGAGACTACAAGCAGTAAACAGTATGCCAATGTTTTGCAGACTTTAGCTGCTATAGGATCTTCAGTAATGATGCAGGATGTTGTGTTGTTAGCACTCATTGCTGTTCGTAATGAATTCCTCAAACTAGAAATCTTTGTGACTGTCCGAAACCCTGTTGAAAGCCTGAAATAAAAGATACAGAGAACATGGTGAAGAGAGGTTAACTGGCAAGTGTGTCACAGTCAGCTCTCTCTTAACGGACATCTCTCTAAGACGGACACCTGGTGTTGGTCCCTTGCCGTTTCCTCTGATCAGCCATTTTACAGTAACTAAACTCTAAAGATGGACACCTCTCTAAGACGGTCATTTGGTGTTGGTCCCTTGCCGTTTTTTTTCTGATCAGTCATTTTACTGTAACTAAACTTCAAAGTTGGACACATCTCTAAGACGGTCACTTGGTGTTGGTCCCTTGCCGTTTTCTTCCGATCAGTCATTTTACTATAGCTAAACCCCAAGTTGGACACCTCTCTAAGACGGGCAGAGGACACTACTCAATAAAACCGTCACCGGGCTCTTGAAAAGTGCTTTCCTATTACAAGAAACTTGAATCGAAAATATAGGTCTTGAATAAATCAAATTAATATTTGGGAAAGGAAAATTCGTATTATATCTTAGAGAGAGTCGACTGACATTCAACGGGTTTTGTGTTGTGTTTGTTCATGAAAGCTTAGAAGACTCCTGTAACTTTCTGGAGTCACAAAATGAATAGCATGTGATATTTGGGTCGTATTTGCTCGTTTCGCGCGTTATTTGTACTCTGTGGACTGCAGTTGGAGGTTAACCAATTAAATCTTCTTGCCCAGTCCCAAAAAAAATTGACAAATGTGAATATGGTGAACTAAATCCTCTGAAGGTGGCTCAAAACAGTTTCCAACACTTAGATTTTGATGGGTCGTTATAACCATTTTTTATCACTTGATGCTACAATCGTGGTATCAAAGAACTGCCCAATCATTGGTGAACACGTTATCATTTTCGTGACACAACAGGTTACCATAGCAACAGTATGATCTCCTTAATTACAGCTTTAGGAGGCTTTATAATTCACAAACGACACGGTGAATTTTTTTAGCCACCTTAAATTTTCGAAAATTTAAGGTAGCTCTGAACCCTATCTACAGAATTTTTTTTTTAAACTTTGCCAGAAGTTGCGTCTTATCATTCTTATCAAAAGTTGATAGTATAAAAAAATTTCCCCGAGCCGTTTTTGAATTATAAGCCCCTAAAGCTGTAATTGAGGGTGTGTTTAGGAGGTCATACTGTTGCCATGGTAACCTATTGTGTCACGAAAATGATAACAGCGTGTTTACCAATGATTGGGCAGTTTTTTGATACCATGATTGTAACATCCAGTGATAAAGAGTAGTTATAACGACCCATCAAAATCTAAGTGTTGGAAACTTTTTTGAGCCACCTTAATGAATTCAATCTCTGTTATATAAACAATAGCCTCCATTTAGCGCGAAAACACACAAAATATTTGACCGCGGACTTAGCTGCCAGTCCGGAAAGCGAAAGTTCCGAATGGATTTTCCGGACATTGTCTGATCCATTCGAATCTCAACCGAAATTTCCGTTTTTTTTTTTTTATTTTCGTCTGAACGGAAAGCGCCCAATGTGATGATATTCAGTTACTTTAACATTAAGGTCGAAGAAAATGTCGGCGGAAGAATTATTTTGGCCTCGATATTCTTCATAAGCCAAAACAACATCGGACAATTTTTTATCACAAGAAAAGAGATTATGATCATCAGAAAAATTATAAGATTGCTTAGACAAAAAAAAACGATCAAACTGAAGGAGGTTTAGGATCATTTTATTTATGGCGAACGTGCTACATATCTATTTTTGGTTGAAAGAAGCAGAGAGACTTCGAGTAGGAAAACAGTTGTCTTATTTCGGTCTTTATTTCCAAGCAGAATAGAAAAAGAGATTCAGGATTATTGTAGAAGAGTTTCTGTTGACATTTTATTATAAGCTGTCACTGGGTTGTTCTGTCCGTGGTGGGCCAATGGAATTCGGTCATAATTACAAAAACACATGCGTCAAACACACAGAGATTTAGACAAGAATATCATTAACTAAAGTAGCTATTTCATGATTTTGTACCGATTATCGATTTATTACCAATTTTCAGCCGCTAACATTCAAAGAATTTTAATGGTAATCAATATCGAATCAGTAAGAAAATTTTTCGACTCCCTTAAAGCCCTACGCGGTTGTTGGTAAAGTCCCAGGCTGTGCTCCTCTACCTCGCGCTACGCTCAAGCCTTACTTTTTGCCGTGCTTTCCGTGAGCTCGGCTTCCGCAGCTAAACTTTAGGACAAGCCCACAGAATTTCTGCTAATACAAATTTGGGAATGAAAGGTATTCAAATTAAAGTCGTGTGCGGAAAGAGTTTAGTTCTTTCCTCTCTCTATCTCTCGCTCTCTTTCTCTCTCCTTCTCTTCAACAGCATGTCTATATAGTAAGCCGGCACTGATACAACGATACTTTTAGAAAGATGCCGATTATTATCAACGTATCTTTCCTTGATTAGGGTCCTCGGGAATTTTCCTTTTATAGCAGCTAGTACTTGTGTACACATTTCGTCAGTAGCTGTGTGGAGAGATGAACTAGGGCTAAATTGATTGGAGCCAATTATCGACCAAAAGAGACATTGCTTAACTTAGTTGCCTTAGAATATCCGCCTCAGCAATTCATGCAAGTCACCGGAGGAGGAATTAAACTAGCTTACAACCGAACTCAATTTCAGTTTGCTGATGCAATTAATTTTAATCTTTTAATCTACGGCAAGTAAAACGATTCAACAAAAACAATTCACTTGATCACGCAATTCAGTGTTCGTGAGCCGATTTGAAATATTCGAAATATTTGTATCAAACTCTAAAATCTTCGTTTGATGATTTATACCACACAATTGTTTTAGTTCTACCACTTTTGCGCGTTAACTCCTAGGATCACGATAAACAATGTTTTTTAAACTATCTTACCTTTTCAAGAACACAAGCAAAGACTGACGTCTCCTGTGATTCAAGACTGTATTTCTAGCTTGTGCTTTTTGTCGCCTTTGAAAAAGGAAAGAACAAAACTTGTTCAAGGAAATAAACGTCCTTCACATTTTCATTCTGACAAAACATGTCTCATTCATTATATAACTGAGTAGAATGTTAAAACAGGAACATGAACCGACCGATTTACGAACAAATCCCTTCACGGGTTAAGCAGATTTAGCAAAAGAAAGAATGGCGTAAAACTGTCAATTAACAAAGATTGGGTTTACAGCAGTACACACTATACTACCTCACGCCATTTGAATACAGAAGATATTTTGCATTCCTTGATAAAGAAGAAATCTTTGAAAAGATAAGCATGCAATTATGTAATTACTATAAGATGTTGAAAGCAATCTGCCCTTGCCAAACTCAACCATAGTCCTTTCAGGCTTGGATGTATCGAACGGTTCAAATTTTTAGCTTTGTGTGATACATATTACGTTCAGAAAGAAACGGGTAAAGGAGGGAAGTGTTTCTGTTGATGTGGTGAAGCTCAAGGTGCCACAAAATTGGTTTAACTAGGCTAGACGGTCGGTGAAAGCGAATGAAAAAAATACCACAGAGCAAAATACTCGTTTACCCGCAATCACTGAAAGACAACTTACATAGTAAGAACTAGAACTCAAAGGGAAATTTCGTCTCAAGTGGTCATAAGAAAGCGAATCACAGAGATTGTAAAGTTCTTGAGCAAACGATAGACTTACCTCTTTTCTTTTTACTGCAATGATCGAGAGTTCGTGTGACCCTCTTCACCCAAAACTCCCAAGGAAGTCGATATGTAGCACCAAAAGGAAGCCAAGGGATTCGAAACCACAGTGCAAGTACACTAATGTTACCGGTTAAAAGGAACTGTAATGGCTAATTAGCCCCGATGGCTGGCATTGATAGGAAGAGATTGATGCTTTTTAAGCAAAGAATGCGTCAGCATGACGCAAGGCAATTAACATCTTTAACTCAAATTTTCTGCGCGTCAGGCAAAGTCGAAGACAACCGGCCGCTAAAGGTGGATCGTGGCGGTCGTTTAGAGAATGGCAATTAACGAATTGTTTACTGGCCAATTGTTTGGAGTGTCACCAAGTAAGCCGTGCTATATTAAACTGTCAAAACACCGCAATCACTCGCTAAACACTGTGATTCTTTCGCAAGTTTACAAAGCGTTAATAGATCCAAAATTTAATTAAAACTGTTAAAATACTTCGAAAAAACTAGCAATATTCCAAAAGGGCATGACCGTTGTCTTGGCAACGCAATTCTAATCACATACACACGCTTCCTTTATTTCGCAAGATTCCAGTCTGTTTCAATCAGAGGCAGTGATTTGTCGATAAATTCCCGCCTCATCCCGTAGTCCGGAAAAAGCCGCAAACTAAAATTGATTTCGAGCGATAAGGCCCCTTCAAAGTAATAGCTCTTGTTAGCCTCTGTTAAGTTCACTATGTAAAATTGAATTTCTGAAGTAAATTTTCAAGTGTTTCCTAGTCTAAAACAAATCGTGCGATTTTCCACGTGAGTTAAGTTACCCGGGTAGCAGTGGTCCATAAAGCTCTTTATTTTCGTAAATATGGAAAAAA